TATTCTCATACGTTCTGTAGGGTTAATAGTAGGTGTATGAACGACTGCTAAAGATGATTTAGTCATTGGTTTGCGCAATAAGTACCAAGCAGCTTCCTGTGCTGACATTTCAACAAAATTAAGAACGTTAACACTCATTTTTTTTTGTAATTTCAACTATATCAAACTCAGTATTTTCATCCATAATTTCAATAATTTGTTGTTGTAAATTATTTATACCTCGATTGTGTTTGTTAACGTACTCGACAACGTAAGCGGCACAAAAATACTCATTTTGAATAATTTGAAAATCCATATTAGATTTCAAATGATGCAAAACAAATGGATTGAATGTATTGTGACATTTTTCCGACGGCGTTTGACGATAAAACAACTTTGGTCGAGTGATGCCAGCACAGATAATGTTATAATGTTCTTATAATTATTAAAATTTTCTTTAGAAAAATTCGAATCGGTACCTTTCATCAGTATCAATGTCACAGTTTTTTTTGATGGCATGAAAGATGCTTCAAATCTACTATTTTATTTTTTATTTGGATCCATTTTTTTGTAACAAGTGAAAGAGTGCTTATGCGTTTGAACTTACCTAAATAAGTTTTAATTTCTCCTAAATTTTTTATCTGAAACCTTTTTGACAACAAGCCTTTAATATAATTAACTTTAGTTTCATTTTTACTACAAATTAATAAGTCATCAACAAACAAAATTAAATAAATAGTTTTATTTACATCAGTTAAAACATATAGACAACATTCATTTTTACTTTTTACAAATCCTAACTCTTCAATATATGTATCAAAACATTTATACCATAGGCTTGGACTTTTTCTTAAACCATTCAAAGCCTTGTTAAATTAAAAAATTTTTTTGGTATTTTCTTCAGAATCTCTAGGTTGTTTAACATAAATCGCAGATTTTACGTTACCGTTCAAAAAGCCTTTTTTACATCTATCTGGTTAATAATTAATTTGTTTTGACAACAGTATGCCAATAAAATTTTTAAAGTCTGCAAATTTGCAATTAGTGAATATATATCTTCAACAATTTTATTCTGTTAAAATCCCCTTACAACTAATCTTGCTTTGTGTAACTGTATTTATGTGTTATGTTGTAATCGGTTTTTCAACTAATCTCCAAATATTGTTTTTAATTAAACAAGACATTTATCGGTCTATTGCAATTTCCCAACTTTTAAAATCATACGAATTCATTGTATCATCAAAACTTACTGGACTTTCTGCATTTACGTAGTTAACATATACAATACCATTATGAACAAAATTTTCATCTTCATATTTCGCAGATTTTTTTACATTTCCTTTTGAACGTCTCAACTCAATATTTTTATTGTTATTTTTATTATGTCCATTTTCAGACTCTTGTTCATTTTTATCTTCATCATTTTGAATTTTATTTTCAAATCCATTTGCATGTTCAATTTTATTGTCGTTTATTTTAAATGCAACCATCTTAATATCTTCCTCAACTACGTCAACATGTCTAGCTACTATTACTCTACCATTTAATAAAACTCTTTATCCTACTTTTTCATAACTTAATAAAATTCCCATTTCAGCTTTATTATCCAATTTAGACTTAGATTGTCTCTTTTGTTTTGGTATTCTTAAAAAAATCTTACTTTCGTACAAACGTAAATTTTCAACACAAGGTTTCTCACCAATCATTATTTCATGAAGAGCTTTATTTTTTTCTACTGAATTTGAAATTATCCTATTTTTCAAATATGCAACCGTTTTAACTATTTCGGGCCAATACATTCTCGGTACATTAGTATCTGCTAGTCGACATCGTGAAATATTCATAATATCTCTGTGATATTTTTCTGCCGTCCCCGTTAACTCATAAACATACGATAGGCATGGTTCAGAGCAACCGCTGTCTAATAGACATTCAATACTATCATCGCAAATATTATTGACCTGAACCTTTAAATTTCCTTTCAAATCTTTTGTTACCTCAGTACAAAAACTATTTTGCTGAATATAACCTGCATTTTCATTGCGCTGATCCTGGCCTTGATGCCACTGTTGCTGCTGCCAACTGCTGCCCTGACGATAATTGCCATATCCTCTTCTAACTCCTCGATCGCCGCCGCCACGGTGCTGCCAATTCTGTTGCTTCTGACGGGCGCCTCCTTGCTGCTGCACGCCGCTCTGTTGTTGTTGCTGTTGGCGCCCACCTCTTCGCTGCTGTGTACTGCCACGAGGTTTCCTCGAATTTTCACCTTGCCTCCTGTTTGTGCTCGTACACTGAGCCTGAAAGTGTCCCATCTTGCCGCACTTGTAACATGCTTTGTCTTTTTTCCTTTCTATCTTAAAACACACTTGTATCTTTGTTACTTCTTTCTTCTCTCTCTTTAATTTCGGTCATCTTGATTTTACTTTTGACAAATTCTACTGTCTGATCTGATTCTTTCAAAACGTCAATCAGATCACGAATGTAACTTAATGAACTGGGCAAAGTTTTTAACATATAACTTAATTTTTCTTTTTCACTGATCGTTGCACCTGCACTTTTCAAATCATTCATTAGTTGTTCAAACTTCGTAAAGAACACAGTTGATTCTTTAAAATTTTTTAATCTTAATCTTTCCAGTTTGTTCCTCACACATATTTTCAGTGCAGTAGATTCGTTAGATACATCTAATCGAACTTATTCATTATGCTCGCGGCCATTTCTTTGTCCTTGATAAATTCAAATTGATTATTTAAGATTGCACAATATATATAATTCATTGCTTTCAAGTCATTTCTAACCATTCTTCTTCTTTGTTCGTTCTCTGTTTCTCTCTCGTTAAAACCTTCTTTTTTTTAACTTCAAAAATATTGAAATTATTTTCTCCCAAATACTGAAATCTTTACCATCAAAACTAGTACTCTTATATCTTCCGCCATCTTGGCTTCTTTTTCTCTTCAAGATTCTTTTATTTCTTCAAAAACAAACCTATTTAACATCAATATATCAGTGATCACTCTTTTACACAATTTTCTCAAACTTTTTTTCGTTAAGTAAACAACTTTTTTAAACTTTTCAATTTCATCCATGCACGTGTCTTCTTTGAAGTTCACGACCTTCAAAGAGATCCATGAAAATAAAAATAAAAATCAAACGACACTGCACCCCCGAACTTGGCTACCATGTTGATAAAATAAATGTATGACGACGTAGCTAACACGATGAAGAAAATGGATTCACTAATATATAAGTTTATTTATCACAACAAATAAAGATTAATAACGATTCTTACAGTTACTCTCATGACACTGAGAGAGACACGACGCGAGCTTACGTACCCGGCAACGGCCATCATCAGTCTGTCTAACACTTCCCAATTATACATACTCTTGCTCTTATTGTGTCTCATACGAGTCGTATCTACGTCGTACAGTAGATGTCGCTAACTACAACTAATATGAATTTACTTGTCCTGGCCCTTCTGCTTCATCATACATACGTCTATGGTATGGAAATTCATATCATACGCTAAAATTCCATCCTGCGACACCGGCGTCTGTGGATAAGATTGTTACACTGGTGAGTTCCTTTAACGATCTAGGACAAAAATTATTCAAATCCATTCCTTTTGTCTTTTTTTTCCCAACCTTACTGTGTATACTGGGCCAATGCAGCTATTAGACGAATGCATCAAAGAGCTCTACAAAAAGAGTTTTATTCTGGAAAATATCAACTACTTTCGTATGTCATTTTTCTGCCTAACCCCCAACGGCTCACTGATCTTTAGTTCGGCATTACTTATCTTTTGTTTGAATTTATAAGTCACCCTATATTTTAGGTAATTAATTTTAGATAATAAAAAATTTTATGGATATTTATAAATAATATTTATTGTACCATAGTTAGATAATTAGTAATACATTATAAAGCAAACTACTGCGAACGCACCTCTTTCGGCTATGAGCTAATTAATAATTTTTTCGCAATAGTGTGCGGAAAATATTTTTTCGCCCTCGGGTGGTTTTGGGAGGCTGGTACTTCCTCGGGCGAAAAAGCAGTTTTCCGGAACTCGTTCGAAAAGTCTCCTTTACAAACCTCGTTACGTCCCTCGCCTTCGGCTCAGGCCGCAAACCTCTCGGTTCGCAAACAGAGACTTTTCAAACTCGTAGGAAAACTACTATTTCCGCCCTCGGGTGATTTTGGGAGGCTGGTACTTCCTCGGGCAAAAAAGCAGCTTTCCGATACTCGTACGAAAATCTCCTTTACGAACCTTGTTACGGACCTCGCCTTCGGCTCGGGCCGCAAACCTCTCGGTTCGCAAACAAAGACTTTTCAAACTCGTAGGAAAACTAATATTTTGCAAGAAGTGTGCGAAAATAGGTGTTTTCCGCACTGATATTAGTGTGGAATAGTAGTTTTCCTACGAGTTTGAAAAGTCTTTGTTTGCGAACCAAGAGGTTTGCGGCCCGAGCCGAAGGCTAGGTCCGTAACGACGTTCGTAAAGGAGACTTTTCGTACGAGTATCGGAAAACTGCTTTTTTGCCCGAGGAAGTACCAGCCTCCCAAAATCACCCGAGGGCGGAAAAAACTTGTACGCAACTCGTGCGGGACAATCTCCCGTACTCGTGTGATAGACTCATGCTCGTGGCCGGTGACGGTAACTCGTGCCGTGCGATCACACTCGTGCTACGTACTCGTGTGCTCAACTGGCACTTGTTCCCGTCAACTCCGGCCACTCGTGCGAGTCAATCACGACTCGTGCGGGAAATCATCTTTTCCGCACTTGTTACGTAAATAACTATTAAATGGTTCGGTAATATATTTTTGTTTATGCAATTACATTTTATAAACTTGAGATTAATGCGAGATCTTCCGTAAGCAGTGAATTGTTACATTTCAAAATAGAAATGAAAGTATTTGTTTAGAATTGATTTATTTCTTGAGATGGCAGAGTAACCCTGATAGAATGTAAACATTTAAAGTATTAGCTTCTATTACTAAAATTTTGTTAATTTGTTATTTAGGAGTAGAAGACAATGGAAGATTAGCTGGATTATCGAAAGATGAAATGAACGCTTCATTAAAAACATTAGAAGACATGGCAACTCGCTTGGGTGCAACCATTGATATTCTTAAAGAACGATTTGCTTACCATAAGTGCAATAATAAAAAAACAAAAACAAAAACAAAAAACAGGATTGAAGATAAGAAAGTAGCTGAAGTTTTAATACGTAAATTAAGAAGAGATGACAAAGACGAGAAATGTGTTACTGATTTACGGCTAGCAGTTATGGGTAGTCAAGATGCTGGAAAATCTACTTTATTAGGTAAATTATCATTATAATAACAGATTTAAATATAGTATATAGCATGATTATTAAATTAACACCCAACAATTTTTAATGTGGCTATTTGGTCCAAATACACGGAGAGAAAATTAGTACGTCTACAGCGCCAGCTATGGTGTAGTAGTCTAACTACGATTTGGTGCACAGTATGTCCTAGTTTTGTTTTCCAAGAAGTAGAGTGTACATGCAGCAATATATATGAAAAGCGCATCTCTTCCAATATGTACACATGCTTGAAGAACATATGCTTAAATTTACGTATAAGTAGAGCTTTGTCCCTCTGTGTGCTGACCCCCCACTATTCTAACTTAACATAAGAGTCTTGTAGTTATATATATATAACCTTGAAATGTTTTGTAATACAACATACTTTATTCCATCTTAATAGTAACTACAAATTTTTAAGACAATGCAACATTCTTTGTTTACTATTAATACAGATAACTTAACTACAACCATTTTTTTCAATAATTAAAATTGACCACACAAAATTTACTTTTATCAAATTTTTTATTTGAAAATTATTTTCTAAGGTTAACCTTAAAAAACATTGTTTGGATTCTTAAACTATAAAAAAGTGACATTAAACTATCCAATAATGTTTTACGTTAGTTATATGCTTTATTTCGAACTCCTTATAAGTTTTTGCATGTTTACTAAGATATTATATTTACACAATTCTATTATTTTTAATTTTGATACATCATACAAGGTATCTACCTTACCTTTAATACTGATTAACATAACTACTGCTCTGATTTATTAATTGAATTTATAAGGTGAAAGACTACGTATAATATTTAAAATTTGTAATGCGATATAATTGTAAGTATTAAGATCGATTAAATCAATATTCAAATAGCTTACTCTATGTTCACTATGATTAGTATTAATTTTTTCTTTGACTAAAAGGCAAAATTTTATCGTTTAAAAAATTTGTGTATTCATTACATATTTTCAAAATTTATTTATTGAAATTTATATGTATTTTATTATTAAATATTTTGAAACATACATCATCTGTTAATTATTTCTTTGACGACGTATGATTTAACAATTTTTTATTTTATTTTGAATAGTCATTTTAAAAATGTATCTTAATTTTAAGTAATATTTTTGAACTTTTTTATTTTAAATAATAACCATAAAATTAAAATTTCTTTATTTCCGACATTATTCTAATTCTAGTATCGTTTTTAAATGGCAGAATAACTCTTACAAAAATCATCTCCTAAATAGGTTTGGTTGTTTCCAAATGATATATTATTGTTGCATAGATCTTGTAAAATAATGTAACCAGTTTCCAAAGATTGTTTTCAAATCATAATGGCTTCATCTCAAATAATTGAATCAATTTTTTGCAATATTTAAATCCAAAATATAGTTAAATCCGAAAATTTTTTGTATTGTATAACTCAAATAAAAATTTTAGTTTCTGATAACTTCTTATTTCTTTACAAAATTAGAGAGAGGAAATACAACTTTTGTTAGGTTAAAACCAAATCATAATTTAAAGTTTTACACGAAACTGTTTGACCTTTACCACTTCAACCATGAATTAAAATAATTTTTGTTTATTCTCACCAGTTTGTCATTTTAAATACGATATCATTTTATAATCATTTAAAAAAATCATTTTTAAAATGATTATAAATGATTTTATTTCCTTACTATTATTGATAGGTGAAGGTAAAGTGAAACTTTTTTATGCCTTGTTTGTCGACTCAAAGACCATGCTTAAACAAGTGCATACTATTCTTTATTACTTAAAAATTCTTGTGATAACACTTAAAATATTTCTAAAAGTGAAAGATAGGGGTTTTTGCCTCAATTACTTTGCACTGCAATTTTCTATTGTGCTGAATTATTCATTTTCGATATTTTTCTATGTAAATTGAAGTATTTTTATTTTATCTTTATCTGTAGCATCTTGTACAAGAAACACAATGAATGTTTATCTGGTTTATTACTTTTTTTTTTTTAATAATTGTTTTAGTGTTTACATCACTTGCTTATATTAATGACTACAAAGTTGTATAGGTTATATTTGTTAAAAGTTATTTGGTAAAAAAATTGAAAATATGATTTTAGATTAAACGTTACTAATGTCAAAACGTATTGAAACGACTGAGCACACGAATTTTCCTGTCTGTTTTTCTTATTTTATATGATCGACGAGAGCCCAGCAAATGGTGCCTGTGCAGTAAATTAATCATTTACTTCTGCGAAAAAATTGTCCGTGATCAAATAGTCTTGCAACAGTAACTCCTTTCTTGAATATTTAATCAATTTAAGATGTACGTGTGTGCACTGTTGAACTTGTACTTGAGTAGGTTACATAGGAAATCACATTTTTGTCGAATATTATTTACTCTATCAATTCAACAAAAAAATTTTAGGATCTCTTTCTTATTTTGAAAGGGCTATGAAATAAAAAATTTTTAGGAAGTTGTTAACCGCTGGAAAAGAGTAAGCGACTAAATTTTGTCTTACAATCTGATCTTTTATACGTATATTGTTTTCTTTATTATAAAGTTATTTTGCATCCACCGCCGTATAAAAGCATCAACAATTTGTAGAAGTGGTATCCGAATATTCCAGAAGTTGGCTGATTAAAGCCGAATAGTCTTTTGTACGTACTAGATTTATTTTACCACTGCCGCCACCGCTGCTGCTGTCGTGTACAAAAATTTTGAAATCAGCGACATTATTACACACATTAGATTTCTACAAAAGTTTATCATCTAGCTAAATTCCAATATTACTGGCTCAGAAATTGACTATCACACTCACCACAGCTACGATAACTTTTTTAAAAACAAACGAAACATTGTTTACAAAAGATAAAATTCTACACTACATAAAAAAACTGAAAAAAGTTATACCCCCCCCCCCAGAACACTAAATCGAACAATAATAATGCGATACGCAATCTAACGAGTTCAAACATTCCTAATAAAGTCGTAGTACTTGTGTCTCTTGGACTGAAATCTTACTAATATATAAAGCAAAGTTGCTAAAACCGTTGTAATCGCTAATTGCGAAAACTACTGGACGGAACTTTTCTTGAGAAAGTTAATAACAATAGCGATAAATAAGCTCAAAGTTTTGCTAAAATAAGCTAACTTTTCGCTTTAGTTCAGTAGGATTCGCTAGGTGGCGTCGAGGTTTTATTGAAGTCGCCCGCAACCAAAAATAGTAAAGAGTGATTATAAGAAGCCCCATCGAGTAGACAATCATCGCAGTCGAACATCGGCACTACACCAAGAATAGAGGAGTCCGTCGTGCAGCTGGGCATCCCGACTATCGATGACACTCTTCTTTCATGGGCAAGCGAAATAAATTAGTTTTTACCCCGGATCCTCAAAATAAACGAGTGCCACGGAAAAACAGGCGTTCGGAACGTCAACGTCTCCGGTGGAATACTAGGAAACGTTTCTTGCCAGAGCACAACCTGCTCCAGCACTTCAGAGCACTTGGTGGCCGTTCAGCCATCCGACCTGGTGCTGTCAGAGAATTTTCTACTTCAAATTCAAGCCAGGGAAGACAGCCCTAAAGAGTACGGGAAGCCCGGCCTCCTTAGTGGTCCCAACGGCATATCTACGGAGAAGGTATTCTCCAGGCCCAGTTTCCTGACTACCGATGAATGGTTGGTTATCCGGGGAACGACCTGAAGACGAGATATTCTTTGGTCAGTGGCGCACTTCCTTTCTTGTACAGTATCCGTACACAGAGACTCGAAGGATAAGCGCCAAGCTACCTGAAGCTAGCTCTTCATCATCAAGAATAATAATAAGGAATAGCTATAAATTTCACCACCGCCTCTTTTCAGGTCTTTTAAGGGATACCTAAGTTTAAATTACCTTGCCAACTAATACATTTTTATAATAATTTCCGGAGACGATTCGTCAACTCAAAGACTATGTAAAGCCGGCCACTATTAAACCAAGTCAGTCATTCACTGTCAGACGTCACGAGCAGAGTTGTTCGTAGAAAGGCTGGGAACCGTGGTGACCGACAACCCTATATTACCCTCTCAACTATAAGCATTCAACCAGGAATCACCGATCCTCTGATCACAGATCTAAGGTCTGCGCTAGGAGAACCTAACAGCTATGAAGAAAAAATAATAAACGTAAGCCAACGGGACAGTTACCAACGGGCAAGTATCATGAACCAAACTTTCCACCTTAGATCGCCAAAACAACTGAACCTGAAAAAAAAGGTGCCTTAGACACCGTCTTCGATGTTATACCAGGAGACGTTGGAAAAGAGCTCTACAACTAGCTCCAAAGCTTCAAACCCTGAGGTATCCAGGCAGTCACGTTTGCTGGAAACTTCAGTCAAGAAAGACTTCATCGGATGTCAAACTATCTTGCCAACAAATATATTCCAACCTAATAAAGTTGAAAAAATAGCCTTTAAGGCTCACAAGAGTCTCAACTATGCTAAAAGTCACAAGAAGTCGAATTAGTAGGAAAACTTCAAATGCATCTTATGAATACAATCTTAGGCGTCAAGAAAATGACGAAAGAGTTTATTAAGTGAGAAATCAGCTTTTTACTGTAACCCTCATAGTCATCTCTTGAATCTTTCAGATTTTCAAATAGGTAGAATATGTATTTTTATTTTTACAGCTTATTATTTGGCCAAATAAACTGTATGGATTTTGAACCAATGTATTTTTAATAAGAAGATTTTTGTTGTGAGAAGTGTCAGAACTAGATGTATAATTTTCCACTGAAAACGTTTCACATTACATGTCAACACACTACGGTGTTCCATTTAGTGAGTCTCAGGCGAAGCCGAGACGGGGGGCCGCTAGTTAAATATATCTTCAAGATTTTATGAACGTCATTTATTATGTGTTGTAAAAAACCTCGAAGTTAGTCTCTCATATCTTGATACCAACGAACGAGAAAAAACAGTAATCTGTGAAAAAGTCTCACAACATCTTCTTGATGTAGTAAAACACACAC